CTAAAGCAAATTTCCAAATTCCATTGCCCAGTTAAGAAAGCTTTGTTCATTCCTGAAGTATGTTGCTGTCCTTGTGGAGCTACTGATAACTGATGTACCAAGAGTGGATGTCTGCCATAAAGAAGGCAGATTTAAAATTCTTGGTCTGCTGCTCTGGGTTTTGCGTGTCTCAGGAGAGCAGAAGGACTCAGAAGAGAGATGTGCTGTCTTCTAGGCATCTTGTGCTAATGTTGACATTACGATGATATAAGCAGGTTGAGCAAATGCAGTGGTCTAGCTGGCATCCACCTTATAAAGAATCTTAATTTGAGTTTCTCTGTGATGCATGTATTTGGAGATCTTAGTTTTTGTTTTCAAAAGGCGAGTAAATGAATTTTAATCTTGCATGCTAGCACGGTTAATGGTGTAGTCTTACAGAAACCAAAAGGTAGATAACCACTGTTATCAAACTGAAGACTCTACACACAGTATCAGTTTGATTCTTACATCTTTGGAGAGTTGTTTGGTTAAATACTGGCTTTGAAGTGTGCAGAGTGTCTTTGTGAATAGCAGATCATTCACATTTAAGAAGCATCAGCTGAGAGGTTCTGGTGTAAAGTGTGGTCCAACAGTAGTAACCTTTAAAAAAAAATCTTTTTTAGGTGGAGGCAGAAAGGCGAGCACATGAACAAGAGGAGAACAAGGCAAGTGAGGAATACATTCAACGGCTCCTTGCAGAAGAAGAGGAGGAACACAGATTGGCAGAAGAGAGACGAAGGGAGATGGAGAAACAGCTGAAGCAAGATGAAGAGTTGGCCTGGCAGCTGAGTAACAGTCTGGTGAGTTAGGATCAAGGGGGACAGTAGAAAACATGGATGGTAGTGCAAACAACTTAGACTTTTCAGAGAAAAAGTTAAAATTTTGAATAATTTAAATTTATTTTAATTGTAGTTGGAAGCTGTTGTCAGCCCCCAATACTTTAGATCCTTGATTGACCTTTAACTTTTAAAGAACCAATGGGAGGGTGAAATATCCCAAACATTTCCACCTGTGTAATATGCACTTGAAATTTGTGCTTGATGTTTTCATTGTGAAACATTTTAAAATGTTGGTTTTCTTCTGTATACTTCCTTTTCCCCATGATTTTAAAAATACTTTGGAAGAAATTGATGTCTGTAACCTGTACTGAAAAAAAGGAACGTACGATGAAAGTTTACCTTATGTTTTTTTGGGTTGGTTTGTTTGTTTGTTTTGTTAATTTGTTTTGGGGTTTTGGTTGGTTGGTTTTTGCTACCTGATAATAGTTCTAATGATGAAACCTGTGTACTTATTTGACGAAAACCTCTTCTCTCTTAATGCCAGATACAGGAAAGCGTACAGAACATGTAACATTTCTTATTCCATAACTCTCCATTACTTATAGTTCTAGAATTCTTTGGACAAAAGTAACTAATTCTGCAGCAGAAACAAAGCAGTTCTCTGGGGTTTCTCCAGTTTGTGTTGTGATTTGTTTTATATAATGCTGTTTTTCCATGTTATCGAAGAATGACGATTCCAAAGGACATGTGCTCAGCAGTCCTTCACCAGCAGGCAGTCTCTCATCTGAAACATCCCCAGCTAATTTGTGCAAGATGAAGAGCAAACCAAGCAACTCTGGAGACATTCAGAAGTAATTAATTCAAGTTTTTCTTCCTTAGTAACTGGTCTGTTTCTTGGTATAGTGTCCCTCTCTTCCATTTGCTTCCTTGGAATCCTGTAGTCCAACTTCCCTGGATAATCTGGGGCAAATGTAAACTGTTGAGTGTTAAAACATCTCCTGATAATATGGAGGAGAAGGGAAACACTTGCCCTTCTCTTGTTTTTGTTTGTCAGAATGAACCTGTAGAGCTTGATTAATGCAAAGGACTGACAATTCAAGAAAAAAAAGTTTTAAAAGGTATACTTCTTTTTTTCCTTTAAGGTATCTGTCTCCAAAGCTTCATCATGCATTGGGATCAACATCATTCTCTAGAACAACAGAAAGAGGCAGGATTGACTCTGACTCAGTGGTAACTAGAGTTGTTTTGTTATAAATCTCAGTGTTAGTAATTATGGGTTATTTTCCCCTTGCCTGTAGGATTGCCAATCCTATATTCCCCTTGTACATCAGCACTGGGCAGTTTATCTTGCCCTTCTTGAACCTTCAGTATTCATGATTCCGGAATGGAATCTGGAATCCGTGGAAGCGGAAGAAACCATGCTTGGCAGTTCACAGATGCACACCTACGGCTTACTTCGATAGTTACCTTGTGTAGCCTTACAAGTACCTTACCTGAATGTCTTCAATGAGCTCTGGGTTGCAACCAATGGTGCATAAAACTAAAATAATGGTTCATTTTGGAGGAGGTTGCACTCTGATTTTCATCGTTCCATATGTCTGTCTGTCTCTCTGATCTTTCCTGTTAAGCTTCAAAAGATGAGCAGGCTAATACCTTGAACAGTTGATTTTAGTCCTTGATAAGAGGAGAATGCTGCAGTTGTGGTTTTGGTCCTTTAGCTAGGCTTCTGTAGGTTGTTTTAAATATTTTCATTAATATTAAACAGCTATGGTTTTTTTTTAAAACGAGAAGAATCCAAGTTAATATCCCAGAGTAATTATGAGCAGTGCAGCTATGAGAAGTGAGATTTGCATGTTATTCGTATCCATTGGCTTTTGATAAATTTACTTTATTAGTGGTCTCTCTTTTTTCTTCAGACCAGTAGCAATGAAGGCAGCAGTTCTGCATGGCAAGATGAGCAAGAGGAAATGCCAACACTGTCTCCACAGCTGACTGGTGTGATTAAAGATTCCAGTGTTAAGGATTCATTTTTGGAATCATGCATGAACTATTTCAGTGCCTCAGCTTCAGGGGAAACCGTTGCTGTCAAGCAGGAAAAAACACCAGGACCAAATTGTCTAGGAGACAAAGTTCCAGATGCGTGTCATGGAAGCACAAAAGGGGAAGGGTCTAGAACAGTTCTTTGTAGATCCAAAGGAGAAGATGATGGAATTGAGTCAGACAGTGGCAGTTTAACACATGTAGAAAGCATAAACCTTGAAGACTCTGCTGAAACTTGTACCCATATTCAGTCAGCAACAAATTCTGTGATGTCTGACAGCAGAAGTGTAATATATGATCTCGTGAAGGTGGCTAGACACTCAGATGAAGAGAAACCAGAGAGACTGCAGAACGCTAAGGAGACTCCAAAAAGAAAGTCACTGGAGCTACCAGCTGAAGCAGTGGTTGACTTGTGCATGCTTGATAAGAGGAGAAAAACTTTTCCAGAAAGTTTAGAGGACCAAGGGGAGCAGATAAATGATTTTAACTTGCAAATGCAGAAAGCCTTTGAGCAGGAGTTCTATGAAAGGCGTATGCAAGAGGAGCAAGACAGGATTTTGGCTCTGCAGCTACAAAAACAGATCAACAAGGAGGAAAGGACACTTAATCGACAAAAGGGCTCTCCAGATGAGTACCTTCTTCGCACCAAACCGCCTCAGTCTGTGAAAGACTCTCCTGCTAGAAAGGGAAGTTCTAAGATGGCAAAAGACTCAAAGGTACCAAAAAAACAGGCTGAAACAAATCACCGCAAGACTCGGAAAAGTTCTTACAATGAAAACTGGCAGTCCCCTACCAGAGTCCGAATGAAATCGCCCAGCATCAAGGGAGGAAAAGTTTTGAATTGTGTGGTTAATACCAGTGACGCAAATGATATTTGTTCACTACCTAAGAATAAGCAAAAGACGATCCTTCAGATGTTTAAAAGCTCTGTGGTGGAGTAGATCAACAGAACCACAGACACATGGTGGAATGAGAATTAAAACTGTGGTAATGCTTTCTCCTGTGTTAGGCAAAGCTTGCTGTAAACAGTTTTAAAGTTGTTGGTTTTGAGGGGGATTGCTTTGAGTCACAAAGTTGTGTATTCTGAGAAGTTTTAATAGCATATGCCCCCAAGACTTTAAAAAATTTTAATTGTTTTTTTCTTGACTACAGCTTATTTTCTAGCACTTGTACTTACATAATTTTGAATGTGAATACTGTTAGTGTTTAAAACCAAAAATAACTGATGGCCTTATCTTAAAAGGCTCCGAAATCTCATTCTATGGAAAGGATGCGTGTTCCACAGAGGAAACAAGCAAAAAAATGGGTCTGTATTTCCAGTTGTCTGCCAACTGCAAGGTGGAAGCTTCACTCGGCATGACCACTGTTCTGTTAGCCTAAATCCCAGTAACATGCTTCAGTTTATTTGTTGAATTGCATTGTTTGCACGACAGTTAACATGAGTATAAACGGACAGTCTTGCAGACACACCCCTTCTCTCTCCCTCTGATATACTAACTCCTTTCTTAGACAAAGAGGGAAAAACGACATCATTCTCCCACTGCCAAAGCCAGGGATCTTTCATAGATGCCAATAGTATAAGTGGTTGTGGGCTTGTATTTAATTCTGTTCATAGAGGTCACTTCTGCAGATCTGACTCTTGGTGTCATTAGGAAAAAGATACTTTTGTTTTCTTATTGCTAGTGTTCTGCAACTTTATTCTTGTACGATAATATTACCTATATTAGTGTTACTCAATTTTCATACTCAAACTGGTTTGAGTCTGATTAAAAACACATACTATTAGAAAAAATAGTTAGTCCAGAAGACAGTTATGATGGAGAAAGTTAAACCAAAAGGGGGAAAAACAACTGAAAACTGGAGTTGTCAGTAATGACATAACTATAATTAAAGATGCACATAACTACCATGCCTGGCTGTAACTGTTCACCCCCCATTTCGAGAGGGACTGCCAAATACTCTCTTCCAGTTGGGCTTAAAACTGACATCATTCAAAAGAATTACAATTTAGACATGTGGGGAAGCTGAGGCCTGTAGGAAGTTGAGACTCGTGAAGAGCTGACCAGCTGCTACTCAGCAGAGGGAGTATTCTTGCTAGATTGTTTTATCTGTTGCTATTATGAAACCATCTTTTGGCCTTTCTTTGCTTGCAGTGAGATACTTTTCCACTGTACGTGTTTGAAAGAGAACAAAGCACCAATCTGCATTGCTGCAGTGTGTGTGCTAATCAAAGTTTGCAAATGTTTTAAATTTGAACTTTTTTTGAACCTCATTGATGATCTATAGACTTTAACTCATTTCTAGGAAATTTGTAGGAAAATACTTCAAAGCAGTATCTTCTGATGTTTTAAGTTTAAAAAAAAAAAAACCAAAACCCAACCTGAAATTTTATTGAAAGCATGAGCAGCACCCCAAGCCAAAAATCTGAATTGGTTTTTTCCTTTGCCTGCTTGTCTCTGTTAATGGTGGGTTTCTCATAAATAAACGATCTATTCTAAGATGCTTTTTGAGAAAGTTGCAATGGGTGACCAGTTGCAAATTGTTCACTGTTCCTCTTGCTGCCTCAACCATTGTGCTGGAAGCCTTCCTTCAATATAGATCTGTTTCTGTTTAATCCTTACCTTTGTTCGGGTTGTTTTCTGTCTTACCCAGGCAGTTAAATATAATACTTCATTTATTAAAAGTGTTCTTTAAGGCAGAGATATTGACTGTTTTCATTCTAGTGATGCTCAGCCTTTCTAGTCATGATAAGCATGTAAGAAGTAAACTCTCTATTTTCAAAACAGATGAGGAGAAAGAGTTTATTTTTTAAGTCTATTCAGCCTCATTTTACAATCCATTTCTGAAGTCTGATGTTTATTTTTAACTTGCTTGAAAGATGGTTCTTGCTCTGGCATGGAGCTCCTCCTTCCAAGATTACGTCTCCCAACAACTGCTGCCGTTCTCGAGTATGCCTGAGCAGAGGCACCACGTGCTCCTCTGATTTACCGACATTTTGGTGTAACAGGTTATTTAGGATTTCACAGCAGGTTGGGAATGGTTTGGAGTGGTGCAGGGCAGTTCCTGGTCTCTTCCCGCACAGGTCACCCCTGCAGCCATCTGCTGCCAAACCCCTGAAGTTTATGCCTGATGCAACTGTCTCTGCAGTGTGAGACACTTTGTTTCTATGGTCCTGATGGTACTGCTGTACCCTCTGAGGGGTCTGAGTGTCTGCCCTGTTCTTCTCAATCACTGCCTTTAATGTCCAGCACCGAAAGAGTCAGAATCTCAAGTGTTTTGAACTGCTGGCCGTTCATATGCAAGAAATAATCTCGCATGTATTAGAAATTCTGACCCTGGTTAATTGCTGTATTTTTCTCGGATCAACCATCATCTACCCCAGTACAGCAGTGCTGGCTTTGGAGTTGCTTTTATGGCCAGGTCCTGATGTTTCATAGATACTTGGTGAAAAAGGAAGGTAAGCATGTGTGGTCATACAGGTATATATCCAGATAAACACTAAAGAGCTGAAAAGAATGAAGCTAGAAATGAAATATATATCCCCCAACAGCCTTAATCTTCATTAGAGTTAAACTTCATCTACTGCTCTGTTTTCTGGGGCTAGCTCTGTCCCTGTAGCAGGCTGACACTAAGCAACATACACTTAGTCATAAGATAGGAGGCATTTTGTTTAAAAAACACAGTATGAGAGCTCACTAATCCAGCAGGATCATGCAGTCTCGCTGAGCACACCTCAACAACGTGGAGTGAGCTGCCATAACAGCTCACTGCCAGTGATAGGGTTCCTACGCTTGTGCCACCTCTGGCGCTCGGGTACTCTGCCATCTAATTCCAGATGTTAAAGGGGTAAGGGAGGCATTGAGGGGCGACAGGATGAGGGAGAATTTCCCTTTTGGGCAGCAATGTGCCTTGTGCAGCTCACTCAGCTGCACCTGAAGCCGTGTCCCAGTATATGGGATTGCTGCATTTAACACCAGTTTCATTCCCTTTTCTTCCACAAGTTGTTTTGCGGATTCTTTCTTTTCCCTTTTAAGGTGTCCGTTATGTGTCTCTTCCATATAAGGCTTATGAAATGCACTAAACTAATCCCAGTTAGAAGTTCGATAAGGGGGGGGGCTTTTCGCATCTTACTCGTCAGTCTTGCGCGGACATACTTCCTTGCCATCAATAGCAAATCCTTCTGCTGTGATTCCACTGAAAATAAATACAGAAATTACAGAAACTAGCCATTTCAAAGGTCTAAATAGTACAGAAATGTATTTTGGTGTGTGTGTATATATGGGGGGTGTTAAAGTATTTGGGGGTTATTTGTGTTTTTCCAACTTCCTGGATTTTGTTCTCAGTGTAAGAATGACCTCTTACATAAGAATAATTTTTTTAAGCAGAATTGAAAAAAAGCAGGACTAAAAAGTCGATCATTAGCTAAAACCCAACCTTAACTGCAAAATATACAAAACCTATAACCTATACCAGAACACCAGTCCAGCAGCCTCATCCGAGGTGGGGTACTGCAAGCCCTCAGGTCCCAAAGATGATCACATTCCTTACTGCATGCGTGGCATAATATTCTCACCAGGCACCTCTTTGGCCTGTCCTTTTGGGTTTTCCTTGTTGGAGGGTGGAATTTGGCCACTGCCGAGTGCGTTTCGGTTGCACCAGCAACCTGTTTCCATTGCTACGATCTGGGAACTTTGAAGCAGGTGAAATCAGCTTTGACTGGTTTAATGGTGTTTGTGAAGCAAGAGTCCGTACTTAGGCTGTCTGAGCTGGTGTAACGGCTCACTGCTGCTCAAAAGGGTGAGCTCACCTTCTGCCTTCAGCTAGCTCTAGTGATTTATTTGTCCCCTTTGTGAACAAGTTCAGCTCATCCAACTGCCAGGAAAAAAAAAAGCAAGTACCAAAAAACCCAAATACTTTGACAGACTTGGTCGCTTTCCTGAGAGCCAGAGCTGTTGTGGGGATGGGAGGTAGGGAGAGGAGCAAGAGAGGGAAGCAAGAGACTTCTAAGGAAACCTCTGCTTTCTGTGGTACTCACTTTAGTTGACACTTGTTAATGACAAGGTGCTCTGCAGAACTCCAGCCTCCTGACAGTGTTGGCAGCAAGCCAGACACATGCTGTGTTATGTTGTAAAACAACTGAAAGTAGTAAAATGTTCCTTTTCTATGGGTGCGATTTCTGCAGGTAGCATAGGGATCGAAAACACCCGGCGTGCTTGTTGTTGAGGCTGTTTCTCTTCCGACTTTGAAGAACTGACAGCAAAAGTATCCCAATAGCAAGGGCTGCCATGTAATGAGCTCCCTT